TAATGGTGATATTACGTACAATGTAAGTTTATTTTGACAGATGCAAAAATCGATCTATTATGTAATAAATTATTGTATAACAAATATTACTAAAAAAAGTTCTTTCTCTTGCTTAATAAAGGAAGGAAAAAATACACCGAAAGATAGAAAATTTAAATATCAAAAAAAAGCGTGTCAATACTTTATATTAATCAATACTGCAATATGTCTAAATAAAAATCCGGCAAGTTAACAAAGTTTTTACTAAAAAAAATTTTATCAATTTTTTAATAAATTCTTTTTATAATAGAATTAAAAGTGTCAAAAGAAATAATGGCTGAAAAGTGACCAGGTATGCTTATATAAGAAAGAATTTAACTCATTTAGTGCTATCTAATTAATTATTAAAATATAAATTCAGGTCTCAAAAAGCAGAAATGCAATAAAAACGAACAAGATACAAGTTCTCCTGTTCAAAAAAAATTTGAAAATATAATGAAAAGCAACAAAATAATAATATTGCAAGTTCTGTAAATCTGCTTTTCAAAAAATTTAATAATAAAAATAGCTAATCACTAATAGTATATCTACGAAAGCAGCTATTCGAATCAATGTTTATTAAAAATATTAACCAAAGACACGAAGATTCTGATGATGCTACTTCAACAGATTATATATCTTCACAAGATTTCTTGTCAGATAAAAGTGATAATGACATCGTTTCTTCTCAAGTTTCTCCACTAGCTTATGAAAATAACGAAGCTATTTTGCCTTATTTAGTTTCTTCCATACACAAAAATAATGAAGCAACTTCACCTCGTCTAGTTTCTTCTGTTTATGAAAACAATGTTTCTTTGCCACAGGAAAATGATATTGCCTTACTGGCTTATAGAAGTAGTAATATTAATGGTTTTGGTAATCAATTTTAGACACCTTATCAAGAATGTACCTAGTTTTAATGATATTTATTATTTGGATAGATACATTTTTGATAGGAGTGTCTGAAAATTGATTTCCAAAACCAATAATATATCTTGGTTCTTGTTATCTTTTTATACATTAAATTGAAATTAATAGTTTTTATATTAATAATAGAGAATTTATTACAAAAATGATCAGCACAATTTCAACAATTAGATAATAAATTTGAAATCATGCTGTAGTTAGTACATCATAAAAGAATTTTAGATTTAGCAACTAATATTAGAAACGAAATAAGGACAAGAGTAGATGAAGGAGATAAAGAACATGCTTCAACC